ATCAGGTTTTCGTTAATCTTGGGTATGACGATAAACTACATCCGGCGGGAAAACCTCTGATTGGGAGGTCAACGTCGTTAATTGGTTCCAGAGGTCACGACTTAGGTTGAAAAACGACTAAAGTCAAAATAACCACACCATAAACCGCAAATAAGTATTCCCCATTGCCTATTACAGTATTTATGATATTTACATACAAAATTCTTAACAAAATAATTTATCAGCGATATAGCCTTACATTTAGCATTAGCAATGAAAGAACGGTCTGGCAATCTTTTCCAATATAACCCAGTTTTGTCAACGTTAAAAATCTGCAGGAAAAAACCCGTTTTCTTCGATTATCTTAGCCAATGCTTTAGGAAAATCGGCTGCTACTTGTTCGTCAGCTGATGCACTTTCACTTTGCTTCTTAATAGAGTGATAATCTCGTAAAAAAACATTGACTTGCTTTAAACTCTACATCTTTCTCATCTGAGTATTTTTTGTTCATGTCCTCAAAGACAACGCTTTCGCTTGTATGATTTCTAGACTAATAGCAGCACACGAATGATTGAACTTATAAATCCAAAATGAAAGAAGTTGTTCCATCTCTTCAAAGATTTTTCCTCGTATTCATTACAGTATTCTTCATCCCTGGGGCATCAGATTTGACAAGTGCCAAAATCTTATCCTTATTGTGAACAATCGTCGGTACAGTTGGCCGAATCATTCCAAAAGATTGATCAATCGATAAAACCTTTTCACTCTTTTCATGGCATTTTATCATAGTAAGTTTATCGTCCACCGTTCTAGTATGACGCTTAGCATTTGCACTAGGAATTTTCTTAGGAGCCATCGGAGAAAAACATAAAGTTACAAATGAATGAGGATGAGAGAGTAGGTACTAAGCAGACATATACTGTGCGTATGCCTAAACTAAACTAGATTTCAATTTCATGGGAATCACGAGTGATGCAGAAAACAACGCCAAACAGTAGATGTTGGAACTACCGTAGAAAACGGCAATATTGGTCTCTTAAAAACCCGCTAAATAAGACGACAACACAGAGCCACAGATGTTTTCATATTTCGTTCTCGAGGATTTATGATGATTATATTAACATTTACTGTAAATGTACGTATTTTAATATGATTTTATATACTTTATTGTAATTTATTGTAGAGTAACGTGATTTTATGTGCTTTTAACTTTTTTCTAGTGATATTACGACTACAATATTTGTGTCGGAGTGACTTGAAGTCGAATAAAATTACTTAAAATTGATTTTTATTTTTCCATATATTTTTTGAGAAAAGACGTATAATCGAGAACGACTTAACTCGAAACGACGTAACTCGAGGTATACCTGTATATATATATATATATATATATATATATATATATATATGTGTGTGTGTGTGTGTGTGTGTGTGTGTGTGTGTATATACGTACATATATAAAATTTATATATATATATATATATATATATATATATATATATATATATATATATATATATTATATGTGCGGTAATTATTTGAAAGTGCTCAATATCAGTGATAGAGCTAACATATTTAGTTGTATGGATATAAGTTTGTAATTGTAACCCTGGGTTTTACGCTTTTGCAATCATCATTAAAATTTGAAACAATTTATGTCAGTTTTTGATTGATTATTTTTGGTGGGTGGGGGGTTCACCTCGGTGTCCGTTTTGGGATGAAACTCATACGCACGCAGACATGACATATATACAGGTTATGTATTATATGTTCACACAAACACATACATATATGAACAATGCGGGACCAGGCGCAGTCATGTATCGATGTGTTGGAGAATATATACATACGCAATTGAAATCGCAAAAGCGTGAAACTCATATCCATATAACTAAATTTTTATATATATATATATATATATATATATATATATATATATATATATATATATATATGTGTGTGTGTGTGTGTGTGTACAGGTGTAAAAAATTTTCCAATTGTTATATTAAGCTTTGAACTGTTGCATCTTAGAAATGATTAAAGGTAGGGAAAATGCTGTTACATAAACTGCAATAACCAATCAAAAGACAAGTATATGAGAATTCCAAAAAGTTGATAACGAACCTTGTTTTCAGATATATTTATATGTCGTTATGAAATACACACACACACACACACATATATATATAATAACTAAATGAAATATATATATATATATATATATATATATATATATATATATATATATATATATATGAAATATATATAGATATAAATATATACATATATATATATATATATATATATATTTATGAATAAAAATGACGATAGGAAAACTGGTAATTGCTGACGCGTTTCGTCCAATTTATTTTGCTTTGATAATGTCCACATTGGACGAAACGCGTCAGCAATTACCAGTTTTCCTATTGTCATTTTTATGCATAAATATTGTCTTCTCTACTGGTTAAATCGGAGAAATTTTCATATATATATATATATATATATATATATTTCATAACGACATATAAATATATATATGTATCGTTATAATTAGTCATGCATGTACATACAGGTCTATATTTGGGTGCTTCGTCGTAAGTTAATTATTAGTAGACGATTTATACTACACAGTAGTCAGTCAGTTATATGCTATGCGTGAGACACGCTTACGCGATCATGTATCTTTTGATACATGACTGATTTGGAAGTTTTTCCTCACAGTAGGTTGTCATATCTTTCTGCGATAGACCAGTTACAATCCAAGGCTATAGAACCCGGTCTGCCCTACTATATACCCAGAGCTGGGGGAGGGGAAGAAGAACCTAAGTGAATGTAATGGGTTCGACTGGAATTCGAACGCGGCTCTCCGGTCCGCTAACTATTACTCCACCTTGCCTCCCTATAGAAGTACGACGACTGTCTGCCAACAATTAATATAACCATTACGATACATGTTTCCTCATACTCAAATAAGCTATGCTTCAGAAAATGATGGTTGCGACTCGATTTCGATTAAAGTCATCGCTTGATGTATCCTCAAGTATAAGCTGTGCAGATATGACTTTTTAGGGGTGCTAGGGTCTTACACTCTTGCGTTGATCTGGTAAGGTTGGGCGCCATTTGCCGTAGCTGTTACATAAATGTCGCATAATGTTTATTGATTGAATTCTTGTGACGTCTTTGATAATTTTTTTGGTCTGCTCGATTTAGACAGACGCGACAAGATTCATTAGATATTCGATCAACTTATGCGGCTACATTTTCAGGGAAATTAACACCAAGACACACTGGAAATATATATATATATATATATATATATATATATATATATATATAATTGGGTATTTGGGTAAATCTCTATTTTTTATACGAGTTTCATTAAAGACATCTGACAAGGTACTGTGGTTAAGCATATTTATTCAAATATTTCTTGTGTTCGTATATTTTTTTTACCTTTATGGAAAAGAAGTGTTTAAAAATTGTCTGAAAATTCCGTATATCAAAGTGCTTTCGGCCATTAATCTAGCTATTATCAAAAAGGTATTTATTTTTATTTTTAACTAAATGTCTAGATATTTATGTATGTATCTAGTGTTATTGAAATGTTTTTTCTTTGTTTTTTTTTAAGCATTACGCCCCGAGCAAGGCGTGAAGCCACTAGGATGCAGGGGGCTGCAGAAGATTTGGAGCAAGAGCAGATAGGAGTGATAGAAGAAAGGATGAGGAGAAGGGTAGTGGGTAGATCAAGGTAACTGGAGATTTCGATTGATATTACGTTTGAATAGTTTGAGATTATAGCTCTCAGGGAAACAGTAATTGGGAAGGGTGTTCCACAGGCGAGAGGTGCGAGGTATGAAGCTCTTGGAGTAGAAGAGACGGCTACATTTAAAAGTTTCTACAGTGCAAGGGTGAGAGCGGGATGCCAGCCTCGTCGGGCGCTTGAATTCATGAAGTCTGGAAACCAGTGAAAGCATCTCATCGGAGCAATTACCATGAAAGTATTTGTAGAAAAGACAGAAAGAGGCGACGGCACGTCTGTGAGAGAGTGACTGTAGACGAGACGCCAGATCAGGGCCAATTATATTACATATCCGTCTCTGGATCTTGTCAAGAACTCCGAGCTAAACAGAAGGTGCCCCAGACCATATATGGAAGCAATACTCCATGCTAGGGCGAATGGTTGATTTGTATATTTGAAGTATCGATACCGGGGAGAAAAATCTTCAAACAGTAATATTAATAATTTATCCGGGTAAATAGGCGTGATTTTTTCCTCAAAATTTTCCAGTTTATTTCAGGGAATTTTTGTTCTATTCTTTTCATTAAATATTAGTTTCCCTATCCTATATATATCTTGACAGGGTGATGCTATTTCAGTATCTGCGTGTTTCCTTTGACATTTTTATTTTCATAATATCTTTGCTTCAGTCGTGTTTGTTCTGTCGAACTGATATCGTATTGGTCCAGGTCACGAGGCTTCAAATTTCACTGTTGACTTATATACGACAGTGTCCGTCAAGCTCTTACAATTCAGGGACACAAATATTGATATACACACATACACACACACACACATATATATATATATATATATATATATATATATATATATATATATATATATTTCTACTTGTCTAAAGCGTGATCAATCCTGGTTGGATGACTGTAGCAACTTAACGATTATCCAAGTATATCCACTTTACATAAACTATTTTCCCTAACGGTTTTTTTACCGACATAAGATCGTTTCAGTTGTTTCAATTCACGTTCAACATCGGGCCATTTGATTGCCAATCAAAAACCACTTGCTCATCAACCGAGTCAGCCATATTGTCTGATATTATCTGGCACAATTTCAACGGTCAAGTAAGTAAAGAAAATATCTTTTGAGTCATTGTTCTGCTTAAGCTTTTCGAAACTAATCGATTGGCAATCAATACTTGCCGATTTGTATGATGTATTCAGTGTATATTGTAAATTATTTATTGTTTTCCGTGGCAGAGTGCGAACAAAATTTGATAATATGCTTCATTCATTTTGGAAAGAGAAAGTATTATAAACCTCTAATCACGTTGTTTTTGTTGTGATCTCGTAACAGATATTCTTCTGTTTAATTCCTTTCTTTCCGTTTTTCTTTCGTTAATGATTCACTATATTTCTTTCTTTCTTTCGCTCATTCTTTCTCTTTTCTTTCTTTTTTGTCAGCCGACTATTATCAAATAGGGACTGATATCGAGCTTTTCTTTAATTTCTTTTCCATAAAAGAAATTTTTCGTTCATTATTTATTTCTTTTTTTCTCGTATTTCAACTTCTCCTTTTGTTTCAGTGTTATTTCTGATCTTTTTGCTTCATTTCTGTTTCCATTATTTTTTCTTTGCTATTTGCTTCTTTCTTTCTTCTTTTCTGTCGCCTCTTATTTCTTTATTTTTTCTATCTATTTTATTTTCTTTCTTTTCTCTTATTTTCATTTACTCTTTTTTTCATATTTTCTTGTTTAATTTTTTTCATTTCTTTCTTTTTTCTTTCTTTTTCTTTCTTTTTCTTTCTTTTTTCTTTTTTTGTATCGTTTCATATTTCCATGGTTTTCCTTTCCACTTTATTTCTTTATTTCTTTTCTCTTATTTTCATTTACTCTTTTTCTTTATATTTTGTTGTTTAACTTTTCTTCATTTCTTTCTTTCTTTTTTCTTTCTTTTTCTTTCTTTTTTGTGTCGATTCATATTTCCTTAGTTTTTCCTTTCCACTTTTTTTATATTTCTTTTCTCGTATTTTCATTTACTCTTTTTCTTTAGATTATGTTGTTTCTTTTTTCATCACATCTTCTCTTCTTTCCATATTTGCATTTTCCATTTCCACTTTTTCTTCCTTTATTGTATTTAATCTCTTTCGCTCATTTTTTTGTCTTCTCGTTTGTTACTTAATTTATTCACATCGCAGCTTTTTCCTTATTTTATTTCATTCATTATTTTCATTATTCATTTTTCTTTTCTTTTCTTACTCTCATATATTCCTATCCTATTTTTCTTTCCATCCGTTTTATGTTTTTTTTATTCAGTTTACTTCTCTTTATCTCTTTCGAATTTATATACAGTATATCTTGCTCACGATTTATATTTCATTTTCCTTCTATCTCAAATCATGCGCACACAAATTATGCCTTACTAATACAATACTGTGCAATTTTCTGATCTGTCCTTCATTCAATAATGACGCCAAGTAAGCACGTATTTTCCTGCTCACACTTTGTTAATCAAAACTTCATTGTTGCTGCAAAATAAAGTCATTAAAACATTTTCAGCTGTTGGCTTAAAATTTCAAAATATAAAATCTGCAATCATTGTCCTAACGTTCACTTGAACGCTTATGGAGACACTGTGACTCCAAAAACAAGATGGAAGTATTGTTCAATATTTATGGAATGATCCATGAAACAATTGAAAAAAAAAAAAAAAAAACAATAAATACTTTCGAATAATTTTTTATAATTCTTAACACGCTTCATTGCCATTTACTTAAATAAGACGGGACAGTTTAAATAAGATACAAGGAACTAAAATGTGCCGAGAGATACATTTATGGCGCCATATTGGCAAAGATCATAACGTTCAATTCGAAGAAAAACACATCTGTTGTTAGACGCTTCATAATAAGTCCAAAACCAATGCACTTTTCTCTTCGAGAAATCAGGTTTAGCAATGCGTTCCGACAAATGGATGCTTTAATATCGAATAAGTAAGATTTCTTAAGAGTTTTGTTTGTATTGTAAAATTAATCAGGTACTTGCAAAATCCCAATACTTTTGTCACTTCAACTGTTCATAAAATTGTACAAAATATTTGTTTAAATCTGATATAACTGAACTATGTACACACCAGCAAACACACACACACACACACAAACACATACACGCATATATATATATATATATATATATATTAAAAAGAAGGATATATTATATTTTATTTTCCTTATGTTCCATTGTGGAAAATAAAATATAATATGTATTTTTAAAAAAATACACATTACAATCAAAAAACGTTTGAGGTTTCTCTCTTGTTTTTAAAATATACCCGCAGTAGGTTGCCATTTTTTCTGCAGTAGACCAGTTACCAGCCAAGTCTATAGAACCTGGTCTGTCTTTCTATTTAGCTATAACTGGGGAAAAAAGAGGAGTTATACCTTTCCCACGTTTTACATGGATGTAATAGATTCGACTGGAATTCGAACTCGGCTCTCCGATTCCTCCATCCGAGCCGCTAACCTTGGAGTAATATTAATATAACATACAAATTTAATTATAAGCTAATTATTTGCATTAACAGATAATATGCAATATGACTGAACAATTCAACTAGAAAAATTGAAAATAAATACAATGTATCTAAATACAAATTAGAGACATGTAATTAATACATGATTCTATCTTAAATAAATAAAAATTATTTTACGGAAAGTTTTAACATCAACTTGAAATCTTTCTTGCTAAACAGTTAGATATTCTTAACACATTCAACATTCTACCTTCGTCCAAGCTAAGAATATTGCTGTCATATTTGGTCCGGTGCTCCTGCTATCTATCTAGAGCTCCTTGATAACATCCAAAGAATCAACAATATTATTGGCCCTGATCTGGCGGTTATGGCCGCTCGGCTTCTGTCACTTTCCTAACTCTGAAAGGTTGCCTGTCTGTGTTCTTTTCTATAAATACTTTCAGGGTAATTGTTTGGATGCGCTTTTCACTATCGTGCTTAGACTTTTTTTTTTTTAAATTTAAGCGGAGTACGAGACTGGTGTCGAAATCTCATCATTTTACAATTTAGCAAACTTGATGTAATCGTAAGTTCTATGCTAACAGTTTCTTTTCTCTTACTTCTCGCTTGTGAAACTCCTTTCTGTCTCCATGCTCTCCAGCCAAATTTAATCTGTAAAAATTGAAATTCAATGCCAATCGCTATCTACTGTTTTCTTGATTACTCTTTCTCTGATCCCGCTACTTAGTAATGTTCCTGTTTCTAACTCTTCCACACCCAGTAAACCCTTTGTGTCTTGGTGGCTTTACTTCCTTGCTTGGGGTGAATTCGATTAAGTAAAAGACAACAGTGATTTTTTTTTTTTATAGTTGTTCATTCAAACTTTGGTCCGCGGCCAGGTCTGGAATTTCAGGGGTAGTACCCACCGGCTTTGCGTAATAGTAACATTGATAATAATCTAAAAAACACTGCAATTTAGGCAAATATATCTTACATAACATACTAATGACATACAATTCTTGACTAATACCGTGACAGTTGAATGTAAGAAAAAAAAGAATTTTATGCAGTTTATTCATTGGCTTAAATTCTAATTTTAGCAATCTAAATAAGCTGGCATTTAGTAAAATGCAGAATACTTAACACAACCGCTAAAAAAAAAAAAAAAAAAAACACACGCCATAGGTAAACATATATAAATATATATATATATATATATATTTTATATATATATTTTTTTTTTGCTTTTTAACTTTACTTACTTAGAATAGATCTTTACTTATCTCTTGATTAATTTGATCATATTTTTTGTTTTTTATTTAATTTTTTAAAGTTATGTTATTTCTTTATATTGTTGTCAAATATTATTATCATTGTTATTATTATCAATTTATAACTGTGACGGTTATAATGCGATGATGATAGTTTCGCTGCTTAAAATGACTAAACAATTTAAATGAATATATTTTGAATAAGATTACTTCCTTCCCCCACCCTGTTTTTTTAAATTATCAAGTCCGGAAGAAAAGATCAATTCTGGGTCACCCTCTCAACTTGCTTAATTCCTCTTTCCTTTCTTTACCTATCTCATTCTCTTTCCCTTTCCCCATGTCTATCTCTCTTTCTCTTCCCCTTAAAAACCTTATATTGAAATCTCTGTTTTCCTATCCATTTTTCTTTCCTCTTTTAATATTAGAAATGTTCGTTTTCTTTTTTTCTCTCTTTTCTTTTTTTTTTTTTTGTCTTTTATTTTTGTCTTTTGTTTCTTTTTGCTTTTCCTTTTTTCTGAATAAATTGGACTCCATTTAAAACTGGTCTGAAGGGATGGACATTTGAGGTCTACGAAATAAATTATAACATGACCGAATGCATTTTTAAGAATTCTGTATTCATTTTATAAATATATATATATATATATATATATATATATATATATATATATATATATATATATTTGTGAAAATATATAGAAAATAGGAAAGAACTGGTTAGGTAGATCCAAAGGACTAGAACATGTAAAACTTGGGATGACCCATGCCCTTTGTCCCTCCATGAGAATTTGCATATTATTAATTTTCGAAATAATAATAATCTATTAAACAATAGACATGAGTTAACGGTTTTCTGTCGTCATCATCAAATCTATGGTTTGAATGATTAGCTAAAAACAAGCATACAATATAATAACTTTTATAATCCATAGCCAAAATAAATAGTTTAAATACCCTAAAAAAAGAAAACCCTTTATGAAGTCGTCAAAAAACAAACGTTACGGCAGTTTTTTATATGCACAAACCCCTTTCATAAAGAAATAAAATAAAAAAATAAATAAATCTCCGTAGACACGCAAGCCAGACTAGGCTAAAACATCTTCCGTTTAAAATTTAGACACCCCCACCTTACCCTGACTTAAGATCTATGAAAGTAACTCTATACTGATACTTATTATTAACACCCAACACACGCCTACCCAATTTAAACAATTCGCCCTAGTTGTTACCATGGAAATTTTGATTTCAATTATTAAAACACGTAAATTTCTGAAATAAGTTATTCCAAAAAAAAATTTCGCTTGAAGATGGAACAGAGCTTTCTTTAACTCATTCAAATAATTATATTGAAGTTTTCGGCTCTTGTTTTGAAACATGAGACCTCTTATGTCGCGAGTTGGAATCATATTTTTAAATAAATAATATATATATATATATATATATATATATATATATATGTGTGTGTGTGTATGAGTGTGTGTGTATATATATATACATACATATATATATATATATATATGTATAATGTGAACGAAAAAAATCAAACGTTGATAGCCTTAATTTAAAAGAGGTCTCAATACGGAGAGCAGTGCTACAGTTATTTATTATAAATTGTTACATACGGTCAAACAAGTGCCCACGACAAAGATGCACACTTATGTCAATGCGTAAGCAATTCATCAGATGAGAAATAAAGATGGTTAGCATCTTTGTTCCTCATTTTACAATTGTTTATATATATATATATATATATATATATATATATATATATATATATATATATATATATATATATATATATATATATTTTAAAAGTTGTTACATACGGATAAATAAGTACTTACGACAAAGATGCAAATATATATATAGAGAGAGAGAAAAAGTATATATATAGAGACAGAGAAAAAAGTATATATATATATATATATATATATATATATATATATATATAAATATATATATATATATATATGTATATATATATATATATATATATATATATGCATGCATGCATGCATGCCCATAAAAATATTCAAACATTAAAATAAATCGCTTAAAATAAATAAATACATAAAGTAATTTCTCTAACTAAACTAAAATAATAATTACGTCAAAAAAAAATAATAATTCAACAACTATCATAAAAAATATTTATCCACTTATGTTTATTAGCCATTAAATTACATCACTTAGCGTATTTCATAGTTTGCCTTTCCTGCGTGAAGAATATTTATGTGCGTTTTTGTTTAAATTTTCAGAACTCAACGATATTTTTATTTCTGTTTATAAATACTTGTTGCAAAGGAAAATCATTATATTCGCCTTGATAATCTCCATCCGAGGACAAAACGCGTCGGTATAGAAAAATTACCTTTTGCCTAAATGTACAATTCTAAAGATCTGATGGATTTAATTTATTATTCCGACAGATTTTATTAGTTAAACGCTTATTTTCAGGCTGGTTGACACATAAATAAATATTCTGTTTATTAAATAAATGAGGCCTTTTAGTCAAATATGGGCATCCGCTAAAAATAGCGTTTAAGTAGTAATAATATATATATATATATATATATATATATATATATATATATATATATATATATATATATATATATATATATATATAACAACTGACGTTAGTAAACAATTTTATTTTAATTTCGAAGATAAAATGGTTTAATTATACACGTCTTACTCATTAACCCATAGCTGAGGGAGAGAAAAGGTGTAGTGATATCTTTTCCAAAGATATTTGCGCGTTTGGTTTGTTTTCCGGCATATCAACCTCAATGAGTTATTTAATGCTGACAAAATTTTACTGCTGATAAATTTTCGATAGATAGATAGATAGATAGATAGATAGATACCGTGCCCAATGCTGATCTTGAAAATTGCAACATAGGTGTATTTGAGACTTTCCTGATGCAGTTAAAACTTCGATGGGATGGTCATCTTGCAAGAATGAGTGTCGACAGACAGAATAGTTAAGGTCCTCATGTATAGCCAGCTTCACAGTGAAGAACTGCTGGAAGGACGGGTCTCAGGTATAAAGAGAAGCTAAGGGGTAAACTCTCAGTTATCAATGTGCTTCACACTTACTTCGAGCGAGCTGACCTAGATAGAAATAAGTGGAGATATTTGTGCCAGAGTGCTTTCAGAAATTTTTTATCAGTCATATTGATCGGCTAAGAGGCGAAAGACAACAGTGAAAAAAAGTCAGCAAATGTTCCTGTTGTTATATCCAGAGATCCTCATTGTTGCACAATATGTGAACTTGTATGCAAGTCACTAGTTGGACACAAGCATAAAACTGAATGTGGTTGTCGGATCTTCATACGTCGAAGTCGACAGTGGAGTCCATCATATATATATATATATATATATATATATATATATATATATATCATTACAGATGAAGAAGAGGCCTTGAGGTAACAGAAATGTGGTTCTATAAAAAATTCTGAGTATTCTCAGAATTTTTTAAGCTTTTTAGTATATATATATATATATATATATATATATATATATATACTAAAAGCTTCGTCATTGGTCACAGGTTCAGTCCATGGTATTCTCAGAATTTTTTAAGAACCACATTTCTGTTACCTCAAGTCCTCTTCTTCATCTGTAATGAGATGGTGAAGCCATTCACTTCAATTTAAGAGAGCCGATATTACATAAATATCCAGCACTCTTTTCTTTGTTTCTAATGTAATTTTCCTGCTTCTTAATACATTGCTTAGTTTTTGGAAGGCCACTTTTTTAAACTACATTGTGTTCTCATATATTCAGTCGAATTCTTTTAGAATTATATTTTTTTTGCTTCATGTCTCTGAAATTCTTTTGTAATAACATTGTTTTTTTCAAAACGTTTCAGATTTAATACGTTGAATTTTTTTTTCATTATTACTGAAGATGATCAAATCCAAGGGAAAGTTTTTTTTCTTATATTTTTATAAAGTTACTATTTTACAGTCATATAATTGCGGGTTTTTA